GCGCGGGCCCGGCGGCGCCCGGAGCCTCATGGCGGCCGGAGGACGGGCCCTCCTCGGCGCCAACATGCTCCTTTGTCCGCTGCGGCCGCGCTCGGCGTCCGGGGAACCGCGGGGTCACGGCCGCGCGGGTCCCAGCGCTGCTCTCTGGCCCGGCCGGAGCGCCGCCTCCTCCTCCTCCTCCTCCTCCCTCGCTGCCGCCGCCGCCTCCCCCGGCCACTGCCCGCGGCGGCTCCTCCCCGCCCGCGGCCGCCGCCACCGCCCCTTCCCCTCCTCCCGGCCTCCTCCCCCTCCTTTCCTCCTCCTCCTCCTCGCGCCTCCCGTCGCTTGCGGCCCGGGTTAGGAAGAGCGTGCTCCGGGATCTGCGCTGCCCGCCCTAGTCCGGGACCCGACCCCCGGCCCGGTGCACGCCCGGCCCCCGGCCTCGGCCTCCGGGCAGCAGTTGTGAGCGCCCCGCGAGAGTCCGGTAACTCGTGGAGAGGGCGGAAGAAAGTTCTCGTCCAAACTCCAGGCACGGTAGCCACTCTCTCGCTGGATTCCCTCGGCCGCCCTGCAGACAAAGCCGCCCTGTGCGCCCCTGGAGGCCGCCCATTCCGCCCGAGGAGCCCCGGCCGGAACGTGGAGCGAGGGAGACGAGCAGGGCTGTATTTCCTCCAGAAAGAAAGGAAAGGGCAAGGGCCCCCAAACCGAATATACGTTCCCACCTCATCCCCGCCCCCCACCAAGGGATTTCACGCCTTCTCTTGGCACACGGTAGCCTCATTTGTCCCAAATGCCCCAGAGCAAGAAACAGGTTCCCCTCCTGGTCCGGGGACTCTCTGAAGCTGTTTCTGGCCTTCAGCAACTCCAGCTGTGAACCCTGGGAAGGATGCATCGGGGTCCCGCCTGACCAAAAGCCTTTTGAAAGAAATTTTCCACTGACAGCAACCAGTTAGATGTAACCAGTTAGAGCAATAGTGACCAAACTAGTCAAGAAACCCCAGCTGAATCCATCACTCTACGATGTGGGGCTGCCAACCCCACCCTAATATTTGCAAGGGCTAACATACTCTATGTTTAAATATTTACAAGAAATATGTCAAGCTAACTAAATATAATCTATTCTCTTACCTTGAGAAACATACCTTAATAACAACCCACAAGGCCAGGTGTGTGTACAGAGATCTCAGAGGCCTTCGGTTCCACCCTGAAATATGGCGGGGAGGAAAGAGCCAGACCCCCAGCACTTGGCCTGCGCACTTCCACACCCTTTGCTTCCTGTGCCAGCTCCATTCATAAACAAGCGGGCTTTCTGCACGTGTATGGATGCCGGAGCCCATTCAACCAAGCTCTGTCCACACCCTCAAACAGCCACCCGTTGGCGTAGCAGTGCCCACATCAGTTGTTTGGTCTTTCCTTGGGAGGACGATTCTGGAGAGAGGCCTGCTGAACACCTGGAAGTAGCCTTGGGAATTTTTGATCAGTGAATTGAAGGATTCTGGGTACCTTGGACAAGGTCTACAATCAGGAAGGGGACACAGGCTCTTGGGGAACACATCCCTTGGTCTTGGGGAATTTTTCCCTTTGGGGAGGTGAGCTAAAATGGTGGCCTCTAAAATGCAGAACCCGAGGCTTTTCTTGTCTGGGTCTGGGGCCCCAGAAGAGTTTATCCCAGGGACCAATTCCCAGAAATCTATGACTAGAACTTTCGCATTGGAAATAAATGATATAACGTACAGTCTTGCAGTCATGTTTGAATAGCACTTCATCTGACCAACATTTTTTGAGATTCAACCATATAAACCCAACAGTATCCATTGCTAATAGTACATTATGTGATAGAAATATTCCAGGTCTGTGTTGTTCAATATGACAGCTGCAAGTGGCTGTTTAACACGTGATATGGAGCCTGTGTGAGGTAAGATAATTTTTCATTTTGTTTAATTTTAATTAATTTAAATTTGAGTTTAAATAGCCCAAGGTGCCTAATGGCTACTCCAATGAACAATGCAGATCTCCACACTGATGGCTACAAAAAGTGGCAGCTCATCATCAGCATGAAGTAGCTTTCAATCTGTAAATCAGCTAGAAGGCAAAGAAAAAAAAAAGCCTCTGTGTTAAGTAGGCAAAATTGTTTACATTTCTTTTGAATTTATATAAAGAACTATTATCCACTAACAAAGGTATTATCATCATCATCCCTTTTCTTTATAAAAGTAAAAACTTCTTAGGGCACCTGGGTGACTCAATCAGGTAAACATCTGAATCTCGATTTCGGCTCAGGTCATGATCTCAAGGTTTGTGGGGTCGACAGCAACAGCACACAGCCTGCTTGGGATTCTCTCTCTCTCTTTCTCGCTCTCAAAAATAAATAAATAAACATAAAAAAATTAAATACTTCTTACTGTGGCAAAAGGAAGTTTTTAATAGTCATGTTACTATTGTCATAGCTACAAATTGTCATTTGAACTTAGAATCTGTGCATATTTTCACATACTTTATGTCAGTCTATAGTTGAAATAAATATGCATGTCTATTTTGAAATTTGCCACAAGCACTAACATCAATTTGGTACATAGCCTCTGTTTACTTCACTGCAGTTGAAAAAGTTATATAAAGTATAGAATTTAAGAAAAAGAATCTCAAGTGGGGGGCACCTGGGTGTCTCAGTCAGTTAAGTATCTGACTCTAGATTTCAGCTCAGGTCATAATCTCACGGTTCATGAGCTCGAGCCCCGAGTTGGGCTCTGAGTTGGCAGTGTGGAGCCTGCTTGGGATTCTCTTTCTCCCTCTCTCTACCCCTTCCCAGCTCGCTCTCTCTCTCTCTCTCTCTCTCTCTCTCGGTAAATAAACAAACTTAAAAAAAACCTCAAGTAGTATCACTCATCCAAGGAGAAATACAGAGGAAATGAAATGTTTTACTATATGGACAATTTCAGCCATTCTTGTACAGGAATCACTCATACTATCTCTGAAAATTAAAAATCATTATAGATCACAAGCTAGTAATGTATTAAGGCTGGCAAGAACTTTAGAAAAAATCTCTCTCAATGCTGTAGTCCTTTGAACCACAGAACCCCTTGTTATTATCATTTCTGTACCAGTATGGGTTTGTAAGGAAATGGCAAGAAGTCCCTTCCACATGTACAAAAAATAGAGGATGATACTGTCTGAAACTTACCATCACTTACCCTGCGTCACATCAAAAACCGTGCTTTAATTACGCTACCCCAGGCCCGACAGCCTCTTGGCAGACAGGTCTATCTACTGCTGATCCCCCCTCAGGCATCATGAGCATCATAGGATTTGAAGTTGTAGGACTTAAGAGATCCTTTCAAAGTTTTCACTGTGTTTGTGATTCCCCACTTTAGAACATGCTATAGAAACTGAGAAATTGCTCATTAACCATATTCATGTACCCACAGTCCAGTAGTAAAGCTATGTTGCACCAACTGTTATTTTAAGGATGGTAGGTAGACCACATTCCAAAGCTTCTATGCTACCAATCTTGTCTTGGTATATTATGTAAGGCTTGTGGGAGACACCAGAGAAACACTCCAGAATACTTTGTTTCTCCTCCTAATAGGGACAGTGTATAACTATGCATGTGTGAATATGTAATAAATATGTGTGTATATACACAGATGCCACCCTGTTTATTGTTAACAATTTATTTTACATGCTTTGTCTTCTTCCTCCTCTACCAAACGATTAGCTCCTAGAGGCTTTTCCAACCGCCTTCTTAAATTACGCCCACCTCTAATTACTCCCTATTAAGTTACTCTGAAATCTGGACCAATCATCTAAACGGAGTCTAGATAACATGGCTTGTTCAAACCTGAAGATAGCTACCTTTTAAAATTTATTTGTTTACATTTTTCTGTCCTTAGTCTCCCACATGACACCAGCTCTATGACACTGTCTTATCTCCTTTTCATCACAGACACTTGCTTCTGCCAAGCATCCATTCCCAAATCTTTTCTCCCTTAGAGACTGAAAAAGCTAATCATTTTCCCAGCCTCCCTTGCCCAAACTTTTGGTGACCTCATTCTAGCCAAAAAGAATCAGAAGTTATGCTGTCCAATATGGTAGACATTAGATACATGTGAGTATTTAAATTTAAATTAATTACAATTAAACTAAAAATTCAGTTCCTTCAACATGCTAGCCACAACCCAAGTGCCCACTACCTATATGTGGCTGGTGAATACCATTTTGGACAGCACAGACTATAGAATAGTTTCAACATCGCAGAAAGTTCTCCTCGTCAACACCAATCTGAGAAGCCTGTCTACAGAGAAGCCTCAGGACAGGAATTGTCTGTGTGACAGACTTTTTCTTTCTTTCTTTCTTTCTCTTTCTTTCTTTCTTTCTTTCTTTCTTTCTTTCTTTCTTTCTTTCTTTCTTTGAGACAAAGAGGGTGCAAATGAGTAAGGGGCAGAGAGAGAGAGAATCCCATGAGGGGCAGAGAGGGAGGGAGAGAGAGGGAGAGAAAGAAGCAGGGCTCACCCAAAGTGGGGCTTGTGTTCACCCCAAGCAGGGCTCAAGTTCACCCCATGCAGGGCCTCAACTCATGAATTGTGACATCATGACCTGAGCTGAGGTCCAATGCTTAACCCAGTGAGCCACCAAGGCAGGGGCCCTGTGTGATACTTATAAGAGAATATCTCTCCCACCACCCTCATTCTCCCTGCTTTAGAGATCATATTGTGGGGACAGGAGACCTGGAGCTGAAGCACGTATTTTGTGACCACTAGGCAAGAAGCCTGAAGGAAAATTCCAGAATAATAGAAGGAATCGGAAAGAGAAAACCACCATTTGGGTCATTGAGATCATACTTGGGCTGGCAATCAAGCCTTATTTTTATTGGTAATGAATATTCTCTGGCTTAATGCATGGTTACTGTGGTTTCCTAGTTCCTAGAACAGTGTCTGGCACATGGAAGGAAATCCAAAGTGTTTGTTGATTCAATAGCTTAAATTTTGGTCATTTTCATGTTCCAAACATCCAATACGGTTCTTCATATGCATTAGCTGGTGAGTAAAAGCTTTTGTGAATTAAATATTTTTGATAACTGGGCAAGAATGTCCAGCTAAAATCAACTAACTTGAGGCTGACTAAAGTTCGGGCTTCTAGAATCAAAGGGCAATGTGTAATGTCATGATTAAGTTGACAGCACTTGGGAAAGAAGAGCAAGTTTTGGGACTTGAAATGTCTCAGTGACACCTCTATAAACCCTGTTAATAAACAGACATTCTCTGTATATTTTTGCATTATTTAGTGTTAATCTATTGGAGCTCCTGGGAGGCTCTGTCGGTCAAGCGTCTGACTTTGGCTCAGGTCATGGTCTCACGGTTCGTGGGTTCGAGCCCCAAGTCGGACTCTGCTGACAGCTCGGAGCCTGCAGCCTGCTTCAGATTCTGTGTTTCCCTCTCTCTCTGCCCCTCCCCCACTCACACTCTGTCTCTCTCTCTCTCAAAAATAAATAAACATTAAAAAAACACACATACTGTTAATCCATTAAACTCACAGCTGTAGTTTATATTTTTAGTCATTACATAACTTGTGCTGGAACGCATGCTCAGTCATTACCCAGGACCCAGATAGGAACAGCAGTAGTGTCTCAAATCACCCCCTAGCCTCTTTAGACAGCATTGGCTCCTGTTCTAGCTTACTAGTTACTAGAAATAGTGACCCTCGACAAGTCACTAAATCTCATCTTTTGAAATGAGTTTGAACTAGAACCAGCTTTTAAGCACTATGATTTTATCCTGCTGAACCATGAATTCTTTTCTTGTTTGCTGCAGCCAGACTATTATTGGAATGTATCGCTGTGACAGTTAAATGCTCTCTTTAGATGACCAAATATCTTTCTGAAATAGTATATTCTTTGCCCACTCCAGTGTAATTACCATCAGTTGTAAATACAAAGAAGAAATATGAGGCAAAAATTGGCCAGCCGTGCCATGTGAGGAATTACCTAGTAGCCTCCAAACACACGATGAGGTCGGTTACACAGAGTTTTGTGGAAGGCCCACCATTCAGCTAAAGACACTCAAATCACGCAGTTGATTACATTCATTTAAAGCACTTGGTGAGAGGGGCACCTGAGTGGCTCAGTCGGTTGAGTGTCTGACTCTTGGTTTCCCAGGGTCGTGGGATCAAGCCCTGCGTTGAGCTCCCTGCTGAGTGTGGAGCCAGCTTGGGATTCTCTCTCCCTCTACCCTCTCCTCCTGTCTCTATCTCTCTCAAAAAAAAAAAAAAAAAATTAGGAAGAAATATAATAAAGCACTTGGTGAGAAGCAGGGGAAAGAGGTGGGGTTGGTCAACCCACATAGAATAAAATGTAACAGATGGAACACCCCCTGGACCCTGGGCCACATGGTGTTCATTTGAACTGTTGGAGTCCGTCTATCCGTCTGTCTGTTTTCTAACTCAGACAAATCAATCTTCCCACTGCTGGTATAGTTATAGTTACAAGGAGCAGAGCTGAAGTTTGAGCAAAGAGATCCAACAGACAGAACGTATCTGGGGCCAGCAACTCCCTTGGTCTATTAGAGGGATGTGGGGACAATTGTGCCTGAGCACAGTTACGACTTGTCTGCTAAGCAGCTGTGGGTCTTATCTGTGCTGCTTGGACAGAGGACACGCAGGGTCAGATTGGGTATCGCCAGTGGGTAGCTGGTTCTCAACCCGATAAATATTGAGTGCCTTATATGCCACCCCTGTTTACTGAACCATAAATATTTGGTGCATCCTCAGTTCTTCAATCCTTTTCTGCCTAGAAGTCATTTTCTCATTTGTCCCATCATTTTTATCTGTTTTCTGCTCATGTTCTCTCCTTTTCTTTCCTGAATCTATCATGTCTCATAAGTGATTTGCTTCTCTACCTAGTGTCATCTACTCTCCTTTTTTCCCTCTCTGTTTTTATAGCAGAATTAAATGTTTTAAAATAACACAGAAAACACATTACATGACAGATGAAACAACAGACTTTGGGGAAATTTAGAAATATAGCTCACACCAGAGATGTGGCTAGCTTCTTCAAATAGCAGTATTGTCTGAGACCTACCTCCCAAAGACGATGTAAATAACCTGCCTTGTTATATCACCTATCTATGTTATTACAAGTTTTAGTCCTATGTGCCAACTATAATGGTCAAAACCTATCCACCAATTACTAACTATTAATCATAGACATAGTAGGAGATAGGTCAGTCATAAATTTCCATCTATATTTTTAAGAACCCAGTAGCTTCCTTCTTCCTTAGTGTTAGTTAACATGACAAAATCCATTTGTTGAGCTGTACAGAATGGGAAGATATATTTGAAGTTATACATTTCTCAACAAAATAATCATTACTTTGAATCAACCTCTGAATCAGTATATCGATAACACATTGAACATTGTGGTATTTGGATTTCTGTAATGTGCTTTTTTTTGTAACACATTTCTAAACACCCTCCTATGTCACCCAAAAGCCTCAAACATTGCTAAATCATAAAATTGGGTTATATAAACTTAGTCAAATTTTTAACTTTTTAATTCAGATATATTAGTTATTGCTCTCCTTATGTTACCTGCATTTGGGGTAACAGGACTGTTTTAGTTTATATGACAATGAGTCAAAATGCATGTATAGTTTGTATAACTTTATAGCATGCTAAAATACAGAAGAAGTGTGAAAATATGGAGGAAAAAGTGAAGTCAGGAAGTCTGGATTAATATACCGACTCTATCCTTAGCTGGGTTACCTTAAGCAACTTACCCAACATCTTGGTGCCTGAATTTCTTCATCTGTTGCAAGATTTAATATAAATTTAATTTAAAATTTAATTAAATTAAGTATGACAACACTGAAGGCACCTGGCACATGAGTTGCACGATCGGTGCCTATTGAACCTACTGAACCTGAATCTAGCCCATTGCCTCATATTCCAGATGGAGAAGCTGAAACCTACAGGCTGTACAGAGGTATCTCAGATCATACCTTTGGTTCAAATAAAACCCAGAACAGAAGAACTGGAAAGACTGCAGGTATGGTTGGTTTCCCTTATAAGCCTATAATGAGACTTTCTTATAATCTGGTCACGAGTTATGATTTAAATAAGTCACTCACTTAATGTCTCAGTTTCTCTACCTGCAGAATCGAGGGACTAATAATTACCTCCTATATTCTAGGAATATTGGACAGGCAAAGAAGTAATGCCTGGAAGAAATCACTGGGAAAAACTTTCTATGTAACCATAACATATCATTATAAACATTAGAAGCTGCAAAAGCATCTCATTGTTAATAACACCACATTACAATTACATATATACAGCTTCTTTCATCTCTGGATCTCTAGATTCCAGCAAAATTAGTGCAGTGGACATTCTTAGACAGTGATTCTACTAGGAAGGCAAAATGGAGAATTGAGGGAATCATACAGAAAATTCAGGAAAAAGCAAGCCTGTGTTCTCCACACGGACTGAGTTTTACAGTTCTATTTGTCCAGGTAATTACCTCAATTGTCCTCATCTCTCTGTAAGTGAACACTCCTCATCATACAGATATACGTATCTTCTCTCTCTCTCTCTCGCTCTCTCTGTTTTAGAGAGAGAAAGGAATGTGAGAGAGTGGGGGAGAGTGGCGATGGGGGGGTGGAGAGAGAGAGAGAGAGAGAGAGAGAGAGAGAGAGAGAGTCACAGGCAGGCTCCATGCTCAGCATGGAGTCCAACACAGTTCAGGATCATGACCCAAGCTGAAATACAGAGTCAGACACTCAACGAGCCACCCAGGTGCCCAGATGTATGTACATTCCAAGTTCAGTTCAATATAACTGAGATGCTTCTGAATGTCTGTTCCAAGAAAGAAAAGCCTTTGTCTTCTGTATTACTGTAAGCCCAGCACCTGAACAATGCCTAGTATTCCATAGGCACTCCATAAATATTTGTTGAATGAATTGATGAATGAAAAAATAAGCCAAAGAATGGGTAACATTTCTCCATTCATGAATTTGTCTTTCATGATGATCAAATAACTGCAACTGAGTTGCCGTATGGAAACTTAAGGAAAACTTTTATTTATGAACTCCACTCTCAGCTCAGTTGACTGTGCATTGAAATTTCTCATACTTGCACTTACCTCTTAAAACTATATGAACATATCATGCTATCATTGCTAGATTATAAATGATAAAATTCCAGCAGTATGACTCCTGTCTGTCCCTATCAGGAAAAGTTGCTCATCTATTTGGAGCCTGTTTGGCTGTAAAACCTCTGTATATTAAGTTCTAAATCCACTTAATTAGCTTCTCTAATCTTCATTATATAAAACTCAGTCCCATCTGATCGGAATATAAAATAAAAACAACCTCTCTGACAGCTAATATTGCAATATATAGAGTCTCAAGGGAAGAGAGAGATTCTGTCTAGGGCACTGTCCAGTACTGTGACTCACTTTTACCTGATCCCCTCGGGAATTATTCATTACCCAGTGAGCTAAAAATATTTTCTGATTTTATTCTTCTTTTCTTTGTGTATTCATATCCCTAACCTCCTCCCTCCAGAACTCTGAAAGAAGGAAGTCAGGAGTCAGGTGTTTGTAGGTCCCTGCCCATAGCACCATGAAATTCTATCGAAACTACCCCTATTTTAGTTACAATTATTTCAGGTGAAAGTGACAGAAACACAACTCCAACTAGGTGAAACCAAAAAGGAACATATTGGTTCACATAAATAGGAAGTTGTTTCAGGCATAGCTGGATCTAGGTTCTGAAGCAATGTTCCCAGGTCTCTCTCTCCACCTCTTTGCACTCTGTGGGCTTTGTTCTGTGGGCAGGAACTATTCACCCTGCAGTTGGAGAGCCACCAACAGCTCCACCTTCGTATCAACCTCACATTACTGTAAAATCCCAGTAAAAAATAAAAATAGCAACAAAACAATCCCCTTTCCCAGCATTCCCAGGAGAGGGACTAACTAACCTAGTCTGGGTTGAAAATACACTTACCTCACCTAAAACTAATGTAATGTGTGTCAGTTGTACTTTGATAAGGAAGGAAGGAAGGAAACCGAGTTTTAGAACAACTCGTTAAAAGAAAAAAAGAGGGGTTCCTGGGTGACCCACTCGATTAAGCGACCAACTCTTGATAACAGTTCAGTTCACGATCTCACAGTCATGAGATCGAGCCCTGAGGGGGGCTCCAAACTGAACATGGAGCCTGCTTCGGATTCTCTCTCTCCCTTTCTCTCTGCCCCTCCCCTGCGCGCGCGCTCTCTCTCACACATACACAAAATAAACTTTAAAACAAATAAAAAATAAAATAAACTTTAAAAAAAGAAAAAGAAAAAGAAAACACACATACTGAACAAGTATGGGATAAGGTGAGTTCCCCAAATACATACTTGATGGCAGAAAAAACAAAACTGTCTGCTATGCTATCTTTACCCCAATAGTATATGACATAGACAAAATGACAGGAAGGACAATTCGCTGAATGTTAGTCACAGTTATTTCTGGATGGCTTGCAAGCAAATTTGAACATCTTCTTTATGTTTCTCTTTATACTGTTGTTATTTTCCATGTTTTATAATGTATATGAGTTACTAACATAATTTTAAAATTAAGTGCTATTTTACGAATGTATTCATTTTATCAAATAAATGAATGAGTATAATTCCTGAGTCTGCTGCGTGTGAAGCACTTTTCTGAATGCTAAGGACAAATTAAATGAATAAAATAGGCGTGGCCACTACCACCAAGGAATTTGTTGTTAGATGGGGAGGACAAACACATACTCACTTAATCACTGTTGTAAACTCCTTAAATTCCTTTGGTAAAAAGATAATTGCTATTTAAAACTTACCAGCTATCATTACTCACTGCTTATCACCAAATCCCTCTCTTTCATAAAAGAGACATCAAAGATTTAAATATAAAAGTATAATCATGGGGCCCCTGGGTGGCTCAGTTGCTTAGGCGTCTGATTCTTGATTTCGGCTCCAGTCATGATCTCACGGTTTATGAGGTCCAGCCCCACACAGGGCTCCAAGCTGATAGCACGGAGCTACTTGGAATTCTCTCTCTACCCCCTCCCCCTCTCATGCTCACACTTCCTCTCTTTCAAATTAAAAGATAAACTTAAAATATATATAATCATAAAACACATTTAATAATGACATTTATATGCAGGTATATAATCACCTAGGTGTATGTGTGCATACACACATACATGTGTTAGAGGGATAATGAAATATAAAAAACTTACAAATTAGTGAGAAAACATTCAACTACTTAAGAAAAACAGGTGAAATATCTGAATAGCTAGTTCAAAAAAGGATAAATATATGGTATGATATGATATGAAAGTATGATATGAAAGAATACTCAGCCTCAGGCGCCTGGGTGGCTCAGTCGGTTAAGCATCCAACTTCCACTCAGGTTTGGGAATTTGAGTTTCTGCTGTCAACTCAAAAGCCTACTTTGGATCCTCTGTCCCCCTCTCTCCCTGCCCCTTCCCCACAAGCGCATGCACACTGTCTCTCTCTCAAAAAGAAACATTAAAACAAATGCTCAACCTCACTAATAATTTTTTTAATGTTTATTTTTAGAGAGAGAGAGAGAGACACAGCCTGAGCAGGAGAGGGGCAGAGAGAGAGGGAGACACAGAAACTGAAGCAGACTCCAGGCTCTGAGCTGTCAGCACAGAACCCAAATCGGGACTCGAACTCATGCTCCACGAGGTCAGGATCTGAGCTGAAGTCCAATGCTGAGCCACCCTGGTGCCCCAGCCTCACTAATAATAAAGAAATGCAATCAAAGCAACCTAAAAAAAAAAAAATTATCAAGATACTAATTTTTACCCTTCGAACTGGAAAAAATCAGAGAGTTAGATAATATCCGATGACTTTTGGAGAAGTCAACTGTTCTCCTAAGTGATTAGAGGCACTATCAATTGATACAACAAAAAAACATTTTGCTTCCTGTCCCAGCTTTATTGAGATGTAATTGACACATAACATTGTGTAAGTTTAAGGTGCCAGTATGATAATTTAATGCATTTAAAAATTGCAAAATGCTTATCACCGTGGTATTAGCTACCATCTCCATCCCATCACCTAGAAGACACTTCCTTTCAAGTGAAGTCTTAAAGAAAGGAAATGAGAAAGCCTCTGTGTGCTGATCTCCTAGTTAGGTGAAAAGAGGGATATAGTGGACCCCCATTTCTATAAATAAATGTGTGTGTGTGTGTGTGTGTGTGTGTGTGTGTGTGTGTGTGTGTGTTTTATGCTGTGTATACATACAGTATTTCTGGAAGAATATAAAGAAACGGTAAGTAATGAAATCTTACCTCTGGGAGAAGGATCAGCAGTGAAGAAACTTACATTTCATCCTGTAAATTTGTTTATTATTCAATTTTTAAAAAGTTTTATACATGCATTTACCTTTTATTAAAAAGGCAGACTAAAAAAAAAGACTGATTTTAGAAACAGAGTGAGCGAAAAACTGTAAATATGTTTTTCAATTTTCTGGCAGCAGTAGACAGCAAAGCATCACAGAATATGTCTTACTTGTTCCAGGAAGGTTGTCTTGAAGGAAGACTCCTAAAGGTGGATGTGTAAAAACTGTAACGGAAGAAGGTACCCATTGTCAGGGAAGCCCCACCTCCCCGCCCCGTTTTTTTTGTTTTTTTTTTTTTAAATGGTTTGAACAAAACTGCTCTTTTTAATATCCCTTCAAATGTAGATCAGTTCTCTGAGGGCAAGGTGGGTAAATTTGCATAGGCTCAAAGGAGATTCCTGGGAGCTTAGGGATGGAGACTGAGGACCTGAACCCTTCTGAGGCTCAATGGCTTTATATCTCTGATGGAGTTAGTGGTCTCCAGGCGGTTCTATCGTGAGTAACGTTGTAGCTGAACTGAGAGCTGTCTGTGGAAGGCTCCTGCAGCCTGAAAGAAAATAGAACATTTGGGAAAATGAGAAAAGACCAATTTTGCAGGGAGTGTAACGAAGGGAAGATTGCCATCCCAAGAGACGCGTGAGGCGGGCAGAGG